ACACACACACACACACACACACACACACACACACCGGGATCATCACAGTATGCGTTTTTGCATTTGCATATATGCAGGAACGCATATCAGCTACGGACATGCATAGCAATCGAAATGTCACAAATTTCATTACTCTTTAGACTCTGCAAGCAGTGAATAATTTTTTCTCGAAAAAACTAAGAACAAGCATTTTTCATTTAAATATCCAAGCCAGAGGTAAAGCCAATGAGCAAAAAGTAGACCTCATCATTTCACTACGAAATAGATATTACCGGTCTATTTTAGAAATTTTGTCAGTATACTGGAAAATAATTGACTACCGCACGGGCTGCCCGTGCGAAGATGCGTTTTTTGCATAGCTCCCCGCAGATTTTTGTCGCTAACGGCACTGGTTGTTTTTCCGGCAGATGTTTCTAGCTAAAGGAATTTCAGACTGACCGCCAGGGCTGTTAGGAAACATCCCTTCAAAATTCCAGTCTTCTAGCTTCTCAGATTCCCGAGTTAGCGAATTACCAGAAAAAAATTTTGGCGGGCCCGTACGCAAGTGCCACGCCTACTTGGGGGCTGGGTATGAGCTCATTAATACATACTTGAACGAGGAGCATCCGCTTAAGATTTCAGCTTTCTAGCATTTCGGATCCTGAGTTATGAAATTACCCAAAAAAAATTTTTGGCGGGTCCGTACGCAGGTACCACGCTTACCCGGGGACTGGGTACTCGAACGACGGACATCCTCTTAAGATTTCAGCTTTCTAGCATTTCGGATTCCCGAGTTATGAACTTGCCCGAAAAAAATTCCGACGACCCTTACGCGGGTACCACGCTTAACCGGGGGCTGGGTTCGAGCTGATTAATACCTACTTGCACGGGGAGCATCCCCTTAAAATTTCAGCCCCAAGCATCTCTGGTTCCCGAGTTAGCAGCTTACCTGCAAAAAAATTTGACGGGCTCTTACGTGGGTAGCACGCGGGTAAGATCGCCCATTTCGAGGATGGGGGCCTGTATGCGCATGTAGGTTAAGCTGATCCTTGCATGGCTGAGCTGAGCTGAGTTGAGTTGACCTATAAAAGATCTGCAAAAGCTACAGGGCTGAAACTTAAGTTCCCAAAGTTTCAGCCCTGTAACTTTTGTAGGTCTCGAGATGAAAAATCGGTACAAAGGCCCAGCGCACAACACAGACACACATATAGACAGCTTCTCGTCAATATGCGTTTTCCGCATTGCATAGCTGCAAAAAACGCAAAAAAACGTCTGAACGTGCAACAGCGGTGAGGACGAATGAGAACGGGGATACTCAGCGCACAGTTTAACTTCTCATGTTTTTATGAACTCGATTTTCTTGAATATGGCATTTTTTGAAGTTCCTTCGCTAAATCTGCCAATTCTGGATCCACTTGTTTGCATTTGAACCATTCCCAGCAGTTTTTGTTACTAAT